CCGGCTCCTCCTCCCGCCTCCCTGAGGACACCCGCCAGCCTCTCAGCACCTCCAGACATCGCTGCTTTTGGAGAAGAGGGAGAGGCGGATAACCTCGGGGGCCATCCAGGCGTAGGTCCCCGCGGCACTCATTTTGGTCGTCTTGTGCCACTCTCGGGCAAGGCCGAAGTCTGTGATCTTGAGCACCGTGTCAGCGAGGTTATGGTTCTCAATGGCCTCCAGGATCAGGACTGCGGGTTGGAAGAAGGGTGAGTCACCAAGACCTGCCAGGCTGTAGGTGTCCCAGTCCTCTGCCTTCCTCTTCCCCTTCAATAGCTTACAGGTCCACTCGGCACAGTCCCTTCCTGCCACCAGTTCCTTCCGGACACCAGAAGTGCCTCCTTGCTTCTAACCCTCAGGTGGCCGAAAAAAAGAGAGGGGATGAAGAGACGGCTCAGCCATTAGGAGTGTGTACTGTCCGCATCACCCCCTGGCTCCAGCTTGCTGGGGTCCTTCTCTAAGTCTGATGCCCTCATGCCCAGCCCCCCAGGCCAGCTGGTCTCTCCTCAGCCCCTCAGGCTGGAGCATCCACCAGCAGGAAGCTGGCATCCTCCTCCAGCGCTCCAGCTGCTCTGGGACCAGAGTGTCCGCAGAACACAGAGCGCTTGCCTGCACTGTCTGGCTCCTCGGCAGACTGGCAGAAGCGACCCTAGCCCACACCCCCTCGTGGCCTTCCCGCTGCTCTCTTCTGCAAAAGTCCTCTTCTAGCCTGTCCCTAGAGCTGGGCTGCCTTCCCTGAGTCCCTGAAGCAGCCTCAGCACGCAGGCAGCGTCTCCATTTCTGCTTGAGTCACCGAGTGCGTGCGTGCTGCTGTGGACCAAGCAAAGCCATCCTCGCCCTCAGCGGAGGCTACAGGAAAAGATGATGGGGCGGGGCAGACGCAAGAACCTTGAACCTGGCTGCAATACTGCCTGTGTTTTTCTTGGTGGTTCTTCCAGCCCTGCACAGTACCAGGTCCTGTTACCCTCAGGCTCCCCTAAAGAGGCTCCTTCATGACTCTTGGGACTGGGGCCATGACAGCTAAGAGAGTAGGGGGAGCTCTGCAGGGTTATCAGCTCCGAAAGGGCGGTCATTCCCACCCAGCACCCCAAAGTGCCTCGAGCTCGTCACCAGGTTTTACACATGGAACTGAGTGAGATGGTGTGTCAGAAGTGGACTCACTCCTGGATCAGAACACACATCTCTGCACACGTGATGCTAAAAAAAGTCTTTCCCAGACCCCTTTGTTTTTCCAGGTTGTTGAAAACTGGTTACAATCTGTTGATTATATATATTATATAAACATATATGCTGTGGAATAATCTTTCTGTACACTGTGAGAATATATGTCACTATGATTGGTTTAATAAACAAGCTGACTGACCAAAAAAAAAAAAAAAAAAAATAGTGTGTACTGTTTTTGCAGAGGACCTGAATTGGATTCCCATCACCCTCACGAGACAGCTTACAACCACCTGTAACTTCAACTCCAGAGGTTCTGATGGATTCCACAGAAACCTGCACTCACACACACACACATATTCATACACACACACACACACACACACACACACACACATACACACACACACACACATTTAAAAATAACTGTTGGGGCTGGAGAGATGGCTCAGTGGTTAAGAGCATGCACTGATCCTGTAGAGGACCCACACAATTACCTGGAACCCTAGCTTCAGAGGATCCAACACCCTCTTCTGGCCCCTGCACTCATGTGTATAAACTCACATATACACATAATTTAAAACACACACACACACACACACACACACACACACACACACACACACACACCTTTAAAGGAAAAGGCAGACACTGTTGGGTGTGGTGGCACATGCCTATAATCCCAGAACTTGGGAGCCTGAGGCAGGAGGATAATATGTTGGAGGCCAACCTGAACTATATAGCAAGACTTTGTTTCAAAATACCAAAAGAATGAAATGAACACGACAGGTCAGTTCCAAGCCTAGCCTGCAGGAAGGCCCTGGTCCAGTCTTGGCCTCTAGAACTGCTGTGCCACCATGATACCATGCTTTCAGTACCCGCTGGTCCAGAGGAGGCAGGAAACCATGGGAGCAGAGTCCTTCTACCCAAGCCCGCTGAACCACTTTGCTCCTGTGCAGCTCTAGGAGCAGCAAGCAGCTGATTTACACGCTGGAGTCTTGGGGTGGTTTGCTATGCAGCATCACTGTGGTCAGCACTGACTGACACATCCAAGCATACCGACTGGGCATGGGCCAGGGAGTCATGGGCACACGGTCACTGTACCCATGTGTACTCTCTGAATGCCAGGCACAGGAGATGAGGACCACTCAGCCCGCAATTCTAGGGGCTTAAGGTTGCAGTTGGTAACATGGCAACAAGCTTACAAAAAGATGAGTGGATTCAAACAAACATGAAAATATAAACCAACAGGTAGAAAGCAATTGCCAAAGGGAGGATCCTCACATTCCTGGCTTAAGTATGACCCACTTGAGGGCGGGGAACATACTGGCCCCATTTGCTGTGGAACCCTCCTGCACATGATCTGGCCTTGTCAATACCAAATGCAATCATGAGGCCATCGATTTAAAAAATAAAGATGATGGGGATGGAATGGGGTTCAGCAAGGATGGGAGAGCTAGGGAGGTGAAGTTTCCCCAGTTGTATAAACCTAGCTCACAGCACACCAGAATGACCCAGAATGGATGAAAGTAATGTCTCATCTACGAGGACTATCTGGGAAAGAAACCATCATGTCTTGGTGCTTGGAGTGGGCCTAACTTACTAGCGGCTCCATTAATGTTTGCTGATGCCTTGAGATGCTTTTTGGTCTAGATACATTTCTAGGGACCCTTCCTGTCTACTTGGCCCATTGCTGATTCAACCAACCAATCAGTTTTGTAGAACCCGTTGATTGGCAGGGCAGCCTGGTAGCTTTTGTATCAGCCACACTTCCCAACCCTTTCATCAGTCCAGTTTGCCTTGGAGAACCAGCAGCATTTCAACAGTGGTTTTCAGGTGAGTGACTTGTCCCACTCCATGCCCATCTCTGCGGGACATTAGGCAGTGTTTGGAGACATTTTTGGTTTTGATAGTTGGGAGCAGGGACGCAGACGCCACTAAACAACCTAAAATGCACAGGACAACCCTCCCACCAATGACAGACCACGAATGTTAATAGTGACAGGCTTGTGAAACCCTGGCCCCAACTAAGCTAGGTTCTGTTTATTTCTGCCTGGTAGACGACTCTGATGCCATGGTCAGGTGGGAGGTATCATGAGGACAGGGCTCTGCAAGTGGCAGTGAACACGGGGCCTGTCGTAGTTCACGGATACACACTCATTGACCCACTGCGACTACAGCCAGGAAGACAGTCTATTTTTCAACCTTTCTGAGCCTCCTTTTTCTTCTTAGTAGAGCCAAAGCCCCCTCCCCTGCCCTGACAGTTTATAGCCACCCCTACTTGCCCCATGCACAGTGCCATCTGGTGTCCCTTGCCGTTTCCAACCACCTGGGCTTGGCCTCACAAGGTTCAGCGGAAGAGAGGATACCACTTACTGTTGATGGACTTGAGGTCCCGGTGAATGATGGGCACAGGGGCATCATTGTGAAGATAGTTCATGCCCCGAGCCACCTGCACGGCCCAGTTGACCAGCACATGAGGAGGCACCCGGCGACCTGCCAGCACCCTGCTCAATGCACCTCCCCGAGCATACTCCATCACCAGGCAGAGGTTTGGGGGGCTGAGGCAGGCGCCCCTCAGGGCAATGATGTTGGGGTGCTGAAGGGCTCCGAAGAGCCGGGCCTCCTGGCGCACCTGCTCTGCTGTCACTGCCGGGTCCCGCTCAGGGTCCAGCCGGGCGGCCTTGACCGCTACTTCCTCGCCGCGCCACAGGGCCCGATAGACCTTGCCAAAGCCCCCCACACCGATGATCTCCTCCAGCTGCAGCTCGTGGAAGGGGATCTCCTGGGGCAGCTGGAGGCCTGTGGGTGCGGCGGGTGCGGCGGGGGCCACGTAGTTGCTGGGGAAGACGCCCACACGGCCGCTCGGCAGCTGCCCCGTCCACCAGCCCTCATCTCCGGACACCGCACAGTCCTGGGAAAGCACCTGGACGCGGTCGCCTCTCCGCAGGGTCAGCTCCTCGTCGCCCACCGCCTCGTAGTCGAAGACGGCGGTCCACACCGGCCCCGCGGGGGTCGCGCCCCACTCTCTGGCCGCCGCCCCCTCCTCCTCCTCCTCCATGGGGGAGGGGCCGGGGGCTGCGGGAGGCCGCTTCACGCAGGCTGCCCGCGGGATGCTGAGCGCGGGGCGGGGAGGCCGGGGTGGCAGGCAGCCCCTGCAGACCCCGGGGGCCTCCTGGGGACCATGGCTGGCGGAGGGCCTCCGCCGGAACCGGGGTGCGGGAAGTAAAAAAAAAAAAAAACCCAAAAACCTTTCTCAAAGGACAGGAGCGTCCCCTGGGCTGCGGCTGTGCAGGAGAGGCGACAGGTTCACCCGTCACCACGGATGTCAGGGCGCAAGGAGGGCCGGGTTGAGCGGGGCCCGCCGGCGGAGGCCGCGGCCGAGG